GGGGTGCTCACAGGATGAAACACAGCGTCAAGGGCTCAGCTCCAGGCGCGGAGCTGTGTGCCAACTGGATTTAAGGAGCATTTGGCACCTTGGACTAAAATGGCCCTGTGGCCAGCTCTCCCTGGACACAGACCAGTGAGCCGGGTGCAGAGGGTCCTCTGTAGGCAGAGGTGGGGGGCTAGCCCAGAAGTGTCCCCAAGAGGCACCTGCCCGTTGAGGAACAGAGTCACCACAGTCTCGTGGGCTGCAGGACTTGTCAGGACTCACCTTGGAGCCTCAGCAGCACTGGGCCCTGTTACCGCTCTCATCTGACACTCCTTACTGTCAAAACTTCCACTTCCCTTCCCCACCCCACCCTGCCCCTGGCTCCTGGGCTCTGCCCTCTGGGGCCATTTCTCAGACTTCTCTGTGGAGCCCCACCCCACCCCCCCACCAGGGCTCTGTGTGGGACCCCTGCACGTGCCACTCTGTGTCCTCCAGGCCACCACCTCAACCCATCGCCAGCCCCGCCCCAGCTCCATGGCCCTGGGGCCACCTCCCTTCTGCACCTCTCCTTGTGACTGTTGCACAAATTCTCAAACTCAACACGTTCCCAGCAGAACCCCTCATCTTCCCATCTTTGTGGGGGGTCAAGAACACGACCCCTCGTGGCCAGGCTTCCGTTTGCCCAGTCCAGTGCTGGTCTTGGGGCAGGTGAGGGGTCTGGGGGGAGGGTCGCCCCCAACACTTGAAGAAGAAATAGCACGGACACTGCGGAGCGCTTTCAGAGCACAGAGGAGCGGGCCGCTTCCAACCCCTCTTGTGAGACCATCCCAGTACCAGATCCGGATGCGGAGAAGGTAGGAAACGCAGATCGAAGGCCAGAATGATTCCGCAGCGCAGACACAGGACTCCCTCACAGAGTCTTAGCAGACCGATCTCAGCAAGTGCAAAGAAGAGTGAAGCGTACGGCCAGGCGGGGCTTATTCCTGGAACGTAAAGTTGGTCTAACGTCTTAGGCTGATGGATAGAGCTCGCCATGTTATTCAGCACCCATTCACGAGTCAACAAACAACAAATCTGGGGAAATCAGGACCAGGGTCCTCCAATCTGATGAAGAGAGGGAAACAGGAGTCACCCGGGTGGTGAGGGACCAGGTCGGGGTGAGGCGAGAACGTGCCCCAGCATCACTTTATTCCATGTAATAAGGCAAGGAGAGCAAACCCCCAAGCCCTTCTGCTTATCCTTTGACATGCACGGAAAGGAACAATTAAGACCATCTCAATTCACAGGTGACATTACTGTCCATAGAAAACCCTGAGCTATAAAACACGAACAGAACTGCCAAGTGTTTGGCAAAGTCACATGGGCTATAAGGCCAAGGTATAAAAGTCCTGCTTCTGGGGCGCCTGGGCGGCTCAGTGGGTTAAAGCCTCTGCCTTCGGCTCAGGTCATGATCCCAGAGTCCTGGGATCGAGCCCCGCATCGGGCTCCCTGCTCAGTGGGGGGCCTGCTTCTCCTTCTGCCTGCCGCTCCCCTGCTTGCGCACTCTCTCTCTCTCTCTCTCAAATGGATAAAATCTTTAAAAAAAAAAGAGCTGTTTCTGTATCTTAACAATGGACAATGAGAACCTGAAGTCATAAAAACAATACCATGTACAAATAGAATCAAAACCCTTGAGATACTTGGAGGTAAATTTAACAAAATATGTGCGAAATCTGTTCACAGAGAACTACGAAATACCACTGAGATGAGACCAAAAAAATGACCTAAGTAAATGGAGCTGTGTGTGCTCCGTTCACGCATTCCAACTCTCAGTAATGTTAAGATTTCGATTCTCCCCAAATCGATCTGCATTTTCAATGCAATTTCCAGCAAAAGCACAGGTAGCTCCTTTTTTTTTTTTAAAGGAAATTAACAAGCCGATCCTAAAATTCAAAAGGAAGTACAAAGGACCAAGGAAACCCTTGCCATGCTGAGAAGCGGTCACGTCAGGCCCTCATCCTCCCTGACTTCGAGTCTCCCTCCAAAGTTGCGTCAGTCGGGACAGAATGCTGTTGGCTTAAAGATAGACTTAGAAGTCACGGCACGACAGCAGAGCCCAGAAACCAAGAATTACGTTTGTGGCAGTGGGTTTTCAGCAAAGGAGCCAGGTAACCCCCTGGAGAAATGTACTCATTTCAACGGAAGGTGTTGGACCGGACATCCGTACGCAGATCAGGAGCCTGGAAACTCACGTGGCACTACCTGCCCAAATCGACCAGATTAACCAGTCGATGTTCACAAGTATTAACGAGAAACAGTCACGCAGCGAAACGTAAGAGCTATGCCTGTAAAAGTTCTGGGAGAAAACTTCTGCGTCCTTGGGTTAAGCAAAGATCTCTTAGATAAGATTCCAAAAGTACAAAGCAGAAATTTTTAAAAATAATAACTGGACCTCAATAAAATTAAAAACGTTTGTGCTTCAGAGGGCACCGTGAAGAAACTGAAAAGCCGCAGAGTGGAGGAAATGCTTTCAAAGCTTACCCCTGGTGAAAGGTGTGCGTCTAGAATATGTAAAGAGCTCTTACCAGTCAATGAGAGGAGACCGCACTGGGAAGATTGGACAGACACTTCATCCACAGAGAGGCATGGACGGCCGACCAGCCGGTGAAAACGTGCTTCGCCATCTGGTATGGGAAAGGCGACCCCACAGCAAGACCCGCTGTACGCCCGGGGCATTGGCTGAACCTCGGAACACTGGCGAGAACTCTGGAAGGCTTCCATGTGCCGAGGGGAAGGCAAAAGGGTCTGGCCCCTCCGGAAACCGGCTTGACAGGATCTCATAACATGCCGCACACACTTAGCACTCAATCCAGCAATCCCACCCAGAGGCGTTTGCCCAAGAGAAAACCAAAACTTCGGTGCACACCAGAGCTGGGCGCCAATGTGCATAGCAGCTTTATTTGTAACGGCCAGAAAGTGGAAGTGACCCAGATGTCCTTCAGTGGGCGACCAGCTGGATGGGCTGTGGTCCGGTCGCACCGTGGGGTCCTACGATACGAGGGGCGCCCTGCACGGACAGAGCTCAGAGACACATTGCGGGGGGCGGGGGGAGACTCGGGTAACACACGCTGGGGTTCCATGTATATGACATCCCA